ACACAGAGCAGAAACTAAAACACACAAACATTCCTTTCTCATCCTGATCTGCCACCATCCTTAGAATTGAATGATGGGCTCCCTCCCGATAATCTGCATTCTTCAATTGATCCACTGGGCTGATAACGGTCTATTTTAGAATATTTGCAAATCATGTTTTTCGTGGAATAATGTGATACGTAGTCTTGTGTAGCTGTGTGTGTACGTAGAGTAAATGATAACAAACAAAACAACTCACAGAATAACAGTCTACGTTACCAGTCAACTGGCGAAATCCATAACAGGAATTGAGATGTTGCATTCCTACTTATCCAGTAAAGTTCACAAAACGTAACCTAGACCGATAGACAGCCCTGAGCTTTAACTATTCTGACAGTAAGAATACCTCCAACAAGTGTACGAGAGTGAGATCGCAGCGGGTAGTTACGCGATTCCCAAGCCGCTGTGGTTTGTGGCGGAAACAATCGAATCGAAGATCCAAATGTTAATGGCCGAAACGGGGAAAATAAGCCGTTGGGACCTGGCGCGTTAACAAACTCCACTGACGAAAACGCGAGCCTTCGTGAGGAGCGGTACAAAACAATGGGATGACGCACCGAGTGAGGGAGTGAGGCCCGCGCGCGCGCAACGCAGCAGCTCGCTCGAGCGCGTGGGCCCCCGATGACGCGCGTGCCACCTGGAAGTAGTATTTGCAGATAGGCTCTGCGGGTGGGAGGTGCGGGGCGAGGTGCAGAGTGTCTTTTGGGTGCTTCGACCTCTTTTGCGTTCCCGTCCCTTGCTAGGTGGAAAGGGCGAACCTGCGGTGAAGTATTTTCTTTCCCGCTCTTCTTCACTGATATCCTCACTCTTTGACTTTCTCCCTATCATGCATTCCTTCACGTCTCTCCTTTCTCTACGGTCTCTCTCGTTTATTCCTCTCTTCTATTCTCTCGTTTTCTCCTCTTTCTCTGTGCTTTTCGCTATGTTTCTCTACACTGCAGTGCTTCTGACCAGGTGGTCAGGCTAGGCTTCGAGTCCCGATGTATTTTCGACACAAACTAGGTCGAGTTCAGCCGCTCGCTGATAGAGACTTTTAGCTGCCGGTTGCTCTGATTGGTAGTGTTCCGAGGGTTTCTCCGAACAGCTGGTGAATACCGGAGTACGGGTCACGGCAGGAGCGCGAACTTCCTTCCTCCTCCCTCTCCTATCCCTACCCCTTCTTACACGTACTCACACATGGCGGGAGCTTAGAGCTTGTCCCAGTAGAGGGTGGGGAGTGCCACGTTAGTGGAAGACACCTGAATGGGGCAAACTCCGCAAGTCGACGAGTAGGTGAACGACGGATCTCGCCATCCAGCGAGGGAAAGAACGCATTCTCCCGTCATAAAACATGCACCCCACATCCGGGACTATTGATCACAGCCATAGCGCTCCGGGTCCTAGGCACGCCCGGAAACACGAAATTATACATCCATCATCTCTCAAGCAGCGGGAATGTGATGACAAAAAGGCTACGTTCTTCTCTCATAAAAAGGTTCTCTAGGTATCTAGAAGAATGAATTGGTAACTCGAAACGCATCGTGAAGGATGAAAGAAATATGAGACCCTTGGGGACTGAATTTGTGATCATCTTTGCAGAAACAGGGGGCGGATTCGCACAACTTATAAAAGCAGAGTAACTATACCCTTTGATTTCCGTAGTTGAAGGCTGAAAAAGCGAACAACGCTTCAACTCTCACTCCGAAAAATCTAGCAAATATGCTTACAGATTAATCTCGGCAACAACACATTAACACCAGCTAATACACGTCAAAACACCGCCCGTGTTTTCAAGATAACGCTCGCACAGCCAGCAAACGAAAAAGCATAGCTCCTCTTAACCTTTGTTCTTCTTCACAGAAGACGCTAAAAGATCCGTAGACTGGCGCGCAGGGTATTTCCGCGTCTTTCTCCGCCGCCGCCGGATCACAAGGGGCGCTGACAAGCGGGAGCCGACCCCTCCCTCGCGCCCGCGGGCAGCTCCCGATTTAGTGCCTCCAGGCGCGGAAAGGGGAGAGGTGACTGGTGCGGCGGACGGTGGGCGGAAACGGGGCACAACCGCAACGGGCCACGCCCAAATTCACTATCGAACTCCTCAACCTTTTTAAATCTGTGGATAGCTTTTTTCGGAATTTAAAAATGTCGCAACGATATGATCTAATACGTTTTAATAAAATACAATTACTTATTAACTAGAATGCTTGAAGTATATCATCAATATAATTTAACGCGAAAAAACTATTTGAATGTATGATACTCATAATTTGTATTAATAATTTTTTTTTGTTATGGTTATGATAGGAGTTGAGAGGGCGAACACAATACAACCATGCCCGAGGCGGGTCTCGAACCCGCGATCCTGCGGCCCTACGGCACTACTGCCTTAGCGATATCGGCCATCCGGACCGGCATTAATCATTTTATTTATATATCAGTTAAATACTGTCTTTAAAACTTGAAGTAATGGGAAATTATCCCCTAGTTTTGTATGGATTTTCTCGTGCAGACCTGCGCATGACTCGCAGCAAACAGAACTACAGTCTCCTCTTAAGAAATTTAGCTCCATTATGAACTACTAGAGGGTATTTGTTGGTTATTCTATCTCTATCACACTAAAATTGGTGAAATTGTTTGTCTGGGAATGAGTTTATTCTTTTTGGCTTTTTTCATGCACGCGTTGTTTTGCCAGTTTAAACCTCCACACATTCCCATCGATTACTCAACTTTTCCCTCTTCAAATTCTAGAAGCCGAAGTACGTTTTTAAATTATTATCAAATGCGCCAGCGTCGCACGATGTTCTTTCGGGCATCTTTCGCGGGAAGCAGAACCGAACGCGGCTTGCCCGACCTCGCCGATTCGCCGCCTCGTCCTCCGGCTGCGCGCGTTCGGGCCATTGTGCTCGTCGCGAGGGGGAAGGCGGAGAGGGGCCGCTCCGCACGCGCCGACACGCACGCACACGCCGAGGGGCGCGCCCTGCGCCCTTCCTTCCGCCCAGGTGGCGCGAAACCCCACAAAGGGCGCGCGCCGTCGTCGCCGCCGCCGGTTGCAGCCATGGCTTGGCTGCGGCTGCGGAGGTTGGCGGTGGCGATGAGGGAACCGGTGGAATAGCTTGATTGATTCATTAGAGATTCCGGACGCATCTATTGCTAAGGTTATTAGTCCTAAAAGCAAAGTGCATGTTTTTAGTACGGAAAGTTATCCCTCCCGGTTGGCGAAATCCGGCGGCAACCTACAAGTCAGCTTGCTGGTGATTTTTTCTCCAATCAGTCATCTCCCTACAGCAGGATTCCACCCCAGCCGGGACCAGATCTCAGCTTCCCACTAGTCTCCCGGCATGTATGATGGTGTAGTACATGTACGAAAGGGGAGACAATAGGATAAAGAAGAGGAAGAAAAGATCGCGCGCGGTCCGTGGCACGTTTGTTAGGGTACTGCACTGGCATTCGCCTGATGTAGATCGGATAAATCACGGAAAACTACCGATCAGAGCAGCCAGCCGCTAGAATTCTCCACACAGAGGCTGAATCCGACAATACTATAGCTATCTAGCTTGTGCCGAAACTCCTGCCACCGCGAGGGCTGTGGCGAGGGTGGCTGTGGCACCGACGACGTTAGAGGCGGCAAGGGCTGCGACGGCGGATGTGGGCGCGGTCGGGGTAGCGGCTGTGAGTGGAGATGATTGTGGATAGGCGGTGGAAGCTCTGGCGACGTGCGGGGCGTTGGAGATAGAGGCAGAGGCAGCGCGCGAAGGTAGGACGGCGAAAGGGGCGAAGTCGGAAGCCGAGGTGGCAAAGGCGGCGGAGGAGACAGACTGGGATGGACTAAAAGAGGAGGCGTAGGGGAGCCCTGCTCGCAGGGAGTGGCTGGTCTCCCCGCCACAACGCTCCACGTCCCTCCCTTGGCCCGCCTTTCTCGCGCTAAGAGCACGCGCCCGGCGTTCTCGGAAGACGAGAGTCGGCGCTGATGCAGCCCAAACCGCTCAGAGCTGAGCACTCGCGCTGGAAGTTCTATGCGGCGCGGCGGGGAGACTGGTTTATCACACGTACTGTCACACGGATAGAAATCATGTTTAGAATGAAAGGGACGTGTTGACGCATAACGCATTTATTTTGCTGTATGAGTATTGTAATAACACACAAAGCAAGAGCGGGGTTTCTCTCAGTATTCATTCCTCATCAACTCTTTTCTGCAAGTGAAACTGTGAACTGTTTTAAATATGTGAACTAATGATGTGACCATATTAATAGTGAAAAGTTGTTGAAAAACATTGTTGATAATATTTTTTTATGCTAAAAAATTCATTCGCATATTAATAACGTTTTGCCCAAACCAAATGATGTATTTTAATACCCTATGTTTCGCAGATTTTCTGTGGATATTTTATCAGTTAGCTCACATTTATCCAAAGGTGCCCTTCAAATACTATTGCAGGAGTGCTTAGGGGGTTTATTCGTTTCGTATTAGGGAGCCGAATGTCTACCTCCTCCCGTTGTCAGTGTTTCACGCCTTTGTCCGGGAAAGAAAGCGCCGCTGCCTGCCTGTTTCACAATACCGAACCTGTTCGGAACAAGGTTCAATGCATAGGCGTTCAGGATAGGGCCGAGAATGAATCTTCATCGTGAAGTAATTCAGAAAGGCTATTCGTTTGCCCGGCGCGGCGGGTATTCCCGTCAATGTCCGCATCCGGACAGGTCAAAGTGTCACAATCAGGTAAAATACGTATCCTGGACAGGTAAACTCGTCACGTTCCCGCTAGGGGTAAAAACACTCCGTATCCGCGAGGGGTAAAACAGTCACGTATCTGGGAGGGGTGAATAGCAATTAACCAGCACACGTGTTAAACTGACACGTATCCGAGACGGTTGTATCTGTCCCCTACCCTGAATGCGTTCGGTTGAGCCCTTTTACGGCCACACCGCTCACCCCGACGCAAGTTGTTCTTTTTGTTTGTTTTTACATTTTCACATTTTTTTCTGCGCAGGTGGGCCACCCGAAGTGCACGACCACGCAGCTGTGGCCGCTCTACCACTTCGAGAACGGCGAGCACGACGAGCTGGAGCTGCTGGCCAACGGCCGGCTGCGCCACTACACGCGCTCGCACGCGCCGCCCGAGCACCCGGACCTGCACTACGACCGCGACCCGCAGCGCGGGCGCGGGCGCGGGGGCGTGGCCGGGGCCGGCGTCGGAGCCGAGGCCGGCGAGGAGCGGCCCCGCGGCCCGCCGGTCTTCGACCTGGACGCCGCCGACGCCGAGGCCGAGCAGGACGCCCTCGACAAGGAGCACGGCACGCGCTTCTTCCACGACTACGCGCCGGGCGCCTACTGCGTCGACAGGGTGAGTCAGCATTCAACGCCGCAGATGCTACTTCGTCTGGGCACTTCACGCCAACACACACACACACACACACACACACACACACACACACACACACACACACACACACACACAGTGATTTCCAGAACGCTCGAGGATCGTATAACGGGTCACAAGAAATGTGACATCTCCAAAAACTGATTTTACAAAATACACTTATCCTAAGAGAAGCCCTTTAGTCAACTGCGAAAAACAAAGAGATGTATACTGGGATTTAAATACAGTCGTACAAATTCGCAAGCTGGACGGAGAGGGGAACACTGTTATTGAATCGAAAGCTTCGTTACGACTTAAATTGTTGGTACTGGAGCTCCCGATTAAATGACTGTTTTCCCCTCTTTTTCCAACTCGTGACTTTGAAGTGCCACTATGTTTAAATCGGTGTGTACTGCACCCAACGGTTCCCAACTTCCCTTGAAAATTATGTTCATGCAATTTTAATTCAAAATAGTATATTTTATTAGCTATTTTTTTCACTTTACCCTCAAAATGACCATTTTTGAAGTATATCATTCTTTTAGCGCCAAGACGATACCCAACAATTTCTTACTATTTTCAACAATAACATATTGATAATAAATGCAGAACATTATTTTCTTTAAATTAGCTTTCACAACACTTGTTCTTAATATAGAAAAACTGATGTGGTACCCAGTCAATATTTTACTCCTCCGCAAACGCGATTCTTCAGCTTTATAATCGGTTTCAAGGGTTATCATAATATATTCTCGACTTCAAAATGAGGCATTTCCACGCTCGCCAAGAGGGAAATATATTTTTAGAGGAAAACATCAAACCCGACTCCCTTTCGGGAAAGCCTGTAGACCCGATAATGCCTGTTTCGTACACAAAAGACCTACAATTCAAAAATAATTAATTTTGAAAATATAAAAACATTTCTTAGAATATAAAGGTGAAATTTTTGAACGTTACTCCATTTTTCAGGAATTTATATTTAAACATCTTTGTTGGAGAGAATTCATGTTATAGTCCAATTTAAGCGAAGTCATACAGAAAACACAACTATACGACCCAATCTTGCAATGACAGTAATTATTGCCGCTCCGTGATAATAAGCTGAGGATGAGAATGGGTTGGATGCTTATGACAAGAAATTAATAAAACCAGTCATGCAGTTACCATGACTTCTTCGTGTACCTAAGATTAAATGCCTAGACAACGTGATCTTCCTCTGAATGACAGGGAACGAGAAACAGATTAACTATGAGCTTCTATAAATATTTTCTCATCTTTTATCTGACCTGGACGTGAATATTCATAATGGCAATTTGCAGGACTCCTTTCGAGTCTTGTCACAATGAGAATCTGCGATCTTTAATTCTAGGGGAATTGAGAGTTCGAAATTTATTTTCATCAGAAATTATCCCAAGCTTTCTCCACTTAATTTGGCCAAAACTTTGCCATAATCACATCATATACTTCATGAAGCAAAACTGAAACACACTACAAGATATACCACCACCTACTACTCCTTGAAACGCCTCATGAAAATAATAAAAACATCCTTATGCCAATTTCTATATCCATCTCCTACTTGATCCCAGGGACAATATAATAACTTTTATTTGCGAATCAATTATACACATGTGTCTAATGCTTTTAAATAAAGCACGTACAAGATTTCCCGTTTAGCACAAACAGAACGAATAAAACGTTCTGGCTGGGAAGATAGCGTGTTTTCTTTCCTTCGTTTCAGCGTCTCTATTCTGTACGACTCGCTCTACTAAATATTTCCTTGGAAGACAGATTGTTTTCGATTCGGCGTGGGCGTAGAACTACAAATGTACGTTTGCCCAACATCGCGCGTCATAATAACAGATACGGACACCATGCTACAACTGAACTCACAGGAAAGAAACTAGTATTTCCTAATGCAAAATCGTACTCTTATCAAGTTATCGCACAGGCGCGCCAGCAGAAATTGCCTGTGTGGGAGGCATGTAAGTTTTTCATGAAAAAAGCCTTATTTGCAACTATTGTAAATTATCACTTATATTATTCATATATTTAATAACAATAATGTACTTTAAACTAACTAAATATAAATTTTCAAATAATTTTCAATATTTGTTTTGAAACGTTCTGTGCCAAGGGGGACACGTGTCCCCTTGCCAGTCCTTTAGATCAGCCCCTGCTAAAAGATGTTCGTAATACTCCAGACTTATTTAGCAAGATTCATCATATTGGGTTAATGGACAGTCTTTGGTAATGAATTATTTCTCAGAGACTCCGAAAATCGAAACCTAAACGAGCAGTGGGAGAAGTAAGGAACCTCCACACATTCAGCAAGTAGCAAGCGACCGCTCGCTGAATCACGAATCCAAGGGATGATCTCTCATTCTTTGACATGCTATTCAGTGCTCGCCTTACCCGCAGAGTATCGGTCTTTTAGACACATTATAGGAGGCAAAAGTGCGCCGAGCACTTACGCTACTAAAAATTGGGCGTACAGTCGCTCGCTAGTCGCCTTATGCCGAATGTGTGAACCCGCCTAAACAGCTTATTATCTCAACAAGAAAATATTTCTAGCCGTAAACACACAGGCGGCAACATATACGGCCATTATTATAGCCCGATATACTTGTACGAGGTTACGTTTTTGTACATATTCTCGTACAGATTCTGTAGAGAAACTTCAAGATCCCAAACTAGAAGAACAAAAGCCGAAAGTCCCGTTTAGACTGTGTGTTCGTTTTCTGTATGAATCGCCATTAGACGCCACGCTACTAAGGGGTCTACCGGGAAAGGAAACTGAATTGCACCGTCCGAGTACATTCAATGGCGGTATTTCTGTGCATGCGTTCTGGTTGTGAATTCTTTATTGTTAATTAACCATAAGGAGCAAAATAGTCAAATAAGAAAAATAGTAACGTGGGATTAGGGATAGTAAGGTAGAGTACTTAACACTTCACACAGTTGCACCTTGACACACCCAACCACAAAATCGAAATGGCCGATTTCCGTCGCGTCGGGTAAACAAATCCGTAAGTGAAGGATCCTGCCAAAAGAGTCGCGTGAGTCAAACTATAAGCTTTCTGCACGAAAAATTACGAACATGCTCAAAAGCTTTCATGCGGAAATCGTGCATTCTGGGCTCCATGATTTCTGTCCCTTCTGTGCTTTTCCCTCCTCCCCTCAGCTGCGTGCGTAGAGTGCGTGCCGCTGGGCTAGGGGGGAGCTCGAGGCGCCAGGCACGACACGCGGGCAGGCCCTGTCCCGCCCCGCCCCTCGCCAAGTTTGGAGCCCCCAGAGCCAATTACGAAGCGCCGCAGCAGCCTCGCGCAATGGCTTCCGAGATTGGACCCACGGCGGCTTGCGGCGGAAACGCGCCCTGCTCACGAAACCGCAGGACGTCGAGGGTAGCTGACTATCTAAATTTTCATTGCGGGCCTGGAATGCAGTTCCTGCGCTGAATCAGATTACGGGATGCACAGACCTTTCTTAACGATGACTCGGTAACACCCGCGGTACAAGTGACAGGAATTTCTTCTTCCTGTTTGTTCTCTTGAGGATGTTTTAATGAACCTCGCAGGACATTTAATGAATTCTTAACGACAATAGTATTGTTAATAAACCTTTCTCAGGAAAGGTGTTTTTAACAGGCATGCAAAGTTACTATATATATATATATATATATATATATATATATATATATATATATATATATATATCAGTAGTAATCATTGTAATTATGAAATAAAATTGAAAATGTTTCGGATCCTTCACATAAAATGTTGAATTATAACACAAAGAAAAATATTAATATAACCTAAATAAACAACTGTTGGCATTTAATATGACTGTCAACAAACTCAAACAGTACGTGCGGAGAAACGAATATTCCCAAAATACATTTTCTGTAAGAATGGTGTCTTCGTGGCGCTATATACACTACATAAATACTAATATACTAAATATACCAGAAGCAATACAATCTTATAAGCAATAATATACTTATTACCATAACCTCAAAGTACACGAGATCTGCAACACTAGCAATTTGCAATATTAGCCCCAATTACCACCAGGCAAAGCACAAGCCTAATTGCCTGAGTTTACTACAATACTCCTTGTCTCCTACGACACTTAACGCATTGCTATGACACACAATTTTCCTATTTAGAACGTTTGACGGCGGTGATGTAGAAATGAGAACAATCGCATGTATTTCGTTATTTCCTGAAAAACTACTCTGTCGCAAATGTGTAGAATCTGCGGGAGAGGAAATGAATATCGAAGGCAAAAAAGGAAGAAAAATGAAAGAGATATACAAGACACGTACAGGACGAAGAAGCCCACAACACAAAAATATGTTGATGGTACCGGAATGAGCCTGAGAAGGAATGTCCAAAGAACAAAGGAAGGCATCAGTGAGCAATCATCAAAAGATCTACTTGAAAGACAAAAGCTTTTTAAGTGGAACATGTGAAAGAGAAATAACTAAAGAAAAATATTATAAAATTCCATGGAGTAAGATTCGAAAAAATTCACAACTACTAAAATCACAATTGTTTTGGCAATAAGACTTCTCGATAAATAAGTGCAATGAATGATTATCACATTTGCTAACGTGAATTATTTTTGTTAACATTGACTATTTTTCTTAACATTACTCGCCTGGGGAACACGATTACCCACTAAACACATGAGAAATATTTGACAATTGACGCCGTGCGCTCCCGTTTCAGGACTGCCTCGCTTGCGACCTTATAAGGAAAACTCATCGCGAATATTGCTAGAAACTTGAGATTCCAGCATATCAGATTTCATTTTCACAAAAAAATGTCGTCGTTGGAAAAAGAGGTAAATGATCGGCAGACTACGGGGGAAGCTGGGACAGGGGAAAGCTATTCTCAGGAAGGCCGTGCGAAGAGGGATATCGTGGCTATCGCCCAAACAAAGAGCATGATTAACAAAGAAACCCCTGGAATTATCTGAAA